AAAAAAAAAAAAAAAATTGAATGCACACCTTAACGTAATCTGTCTTTTCAGTCAGTGCCCCTTAGACGGCTGCGATGATATCTTTCGAAACCACATCCACCATTTTAGACAGCATGATATCACCAAACTCAAAACCCCTGGATTGTAAGTATTATATCTAGTGGGCATTTCATCTCTCCTTTAATAATAGATCTTTTCATATGAAATGATTTGTATAATTGCAGGTACCGAAAGATGTTGGCAAAGTTGCAGGCGCAACCAAACTTGGACAAAGCAGAGGTTTCACACCCTAGCCCTCAAGTAATGCAGGTCATTTCGGACGGTGAAGATGAAGAACATGCTACATACCATYCAACTCCATCTAAACCCAAACACCCACCTAAACCTGCTAAATCAGTTGGAAAWAAAAAGGAGGCTGCGAGGAAGTACCCTGAAAAAGCACATCGCCAAAGATGGAGTTCTGATGACAACAAAATTATCAAGTCAARCGTCGAGGATATGCTGACAAAACACGTCTGTCCTACAAGACACGAAATAATCAACCGCTTTACATATAATCCAAATCTGCGCTCTTTTTTCGTTAACAAAAGCCCCAAGCAAAGAGAACGGTGCATTGAGAAAGTTAAGACACTCTTCAACTCAGAAAATCTAAAAAAGTAGGCCTCCAAATTCMAATTTGGTGACTCTTATCCATATAAAACACCCTATTTAATACAACTAAAACAACGAATACAATTGCAGCAGCATATTGGAAAGGATGAAAAAGGTTCAATTGACGCCTTGTTGCTGTGAAGTAGTAGTGAAAAACGTCTAAGCTTTCGCTGTCCGTACGGCTTCATCAGAGACTGACTAGAGAAATGTTAGCTAAGTGTTTAAAAGAAAAGCTTAGACGTTTTTCACTACTTAACAGCAACAAGGCCTCAATTGAACCTTCTCCAACTAAAACAACATTCAACACAAACAATTACAGATGACATTCAGGGTTTTATAATAAACAATATGCCTACTGCTCATGTCAATGGCGATGACAGGATAGTGTCAAATCTGCAAGGACAGTTTACAATACAAAAGATTTCTAGAGAATGAAAATGCATAGTACCAATAATAATAATGACACATAATGAGAGATAAATTGCATTTATTCATGCAAATACAGTCAAATCCATAAGGAGTACGGCAAGATAACTGTAAAGCATTAATTAAGAATAAAAGAAATAAAGACAAAAAATACAACACAAACAATAAGGATAATTGAAAACTGGATAAGTAATCTATGTCTTTTTTTCTAAAATAAAGCATCCAGCTTTCAAACTACACCAGCTCCTTATAGATCTGTAAATTAGGTATTGTCATTCAACTTATTTTTTTAAAGTGGAATCTAAATATATAAACTAATACATGTAATACCTAATTACCAAAAAACAGGATATMCATTAATTACAAATGACTAGTTGTCTCTAGCTTAAACTTTTAAAAACAGGGATTTCGATCTGGTCTATTATTAAAAAATTAAGCTAGAGACAACTAGACATTTATGTAAACTATGGATCCTAGCTGTAACAGCCATATCTTTACAGGATATACATTTCTTTGATTGGATATAGCCTGTTATATACTAGAGCAAAATATAACATTTCAAAATGTACTATGCAAAGCTGCAAAAGTGGTATTTTTGATTGCCTTTGCTCAGCAATGCACCACAGGTGGCTGGTGAGCCAATTACCTCTTTGGAATTTGTGTGAAAGTGAAAATTAAATGCAGCTTGTTAAACAATCAGATTTTAGTCAACACAATGTATAACAATTTCCTTCGGGACCATATTATAGAATAAGTTTAGATTACTGGTAGTTATCTAATTTTGGGTGAGGACCTATACGGCTCTAATACCAGAGCATTGTCACTGCCTCTTAGAGTGGCCCGCATTAAATTGGTTTCTGGTAGGGGAAAATACTTTCCTTTCTCAAGAAACCTAGATGATGGACTGAATGACAAAGGTGCTGGTTCAGGATGTTTCAAATGTATGGTTGTTATTAAAGTGCAGACAAACCCTGGAGGAATAGGATGACCATCAAGACTGTTCATGTCAGGTTTCAAAAAGCCAGCAGCAACTGTTGCACCATTTTTCACATAACATACCATTTCTGATGGGTTAACAGCTGTTTGGTGGATGCTTGTTGATGATGTGTTTACAGTTGTTGGATGGTGGACAGCAGATGATGATGTGTTTACAGTTGTTGGATGGTGGACAACAGATGATGATGTGTTTACAGTTGTTGGATGGTGGACAACAGATGATGATGGGTTTACAGTTGTTGGATGGTGGACGACAGATGATGATGGGTTTACAGTTGTTGGATGGTGGACAACA